TGGAACATCCGAAGACCACATGTGGGCCACTAATGAGATGACGTCATCATAACGTCTGTCTGTCTGTCTATGTTAATTCTACCCGCAGCTGCACCCGCGGGAGTTAAATCCAGAGCCATTCCATGAGCCAGTAAAACTCTTAGAGTGAACGAATCTCGAAATGATTTTCGTTACTAAGCAATATTGAAAGCAAACATTGTTACTTTACAAACAACGATTACAAAGAGATGTACGTTGTCTTGGTGTGGTATACGATTTTATGTCTACGCCTCATTGATGGTGAAAACAATAATTAGTAGGGTTCAGATACTAGTGACTTCTGAACCTATTATAAATTATAAACCTAATAACCAACCTAATAAAATAAACCTATTATAATTGTATGTGTGTTTTGATGCACGTTTCAGTATGTTCAAGTGTACCTACTGATGTCGGGCAAACGTTTTCTGCAAATTTTGGGTTAATTTAACATAATTATTGAGAAGCTTGGTTTGAAACCATATTATTTAAGGTCTAATATTTCCTGGTTTAATAGTCTTTACACGAACTATACACAACCCAGACACTGCGATTACTGCGAACAGAAACATACCTTAAAATTGTCTCCGCTCAACCGCATGACTATCTGATAAGAAAGTACATAAATTATCCAAGATATCTTTGTGTTCATTAATATTACCATGTTTGTAACGCAGCATGGATTTCATAAACGGTCTTCAAATATTTGATATGGGTACTAATTTTAATTTCACGACTTGGTTACACCAAGTGCTAGTCGCAAGTATACATGTAGTTTGTTTCATTTACCCATCCAATTCTTAAACAGAGTAGGAAAAGGAGCACGAGAAAAGAAACATTAGATTTCAAAAATCAGATAAAAATCCAAAACAACGCACTGTAGAAAGATAGGATTTCCTCTGAAAGAAAAACCTCTATGAGGTCTTTTATTTCCTTTAATCTTCACCGAATCCAAAACCACAACTGCGGCGGAAACAAAGGTTGAAGTTCACACGATTTATTATCAGTCAATGCTATTAGCAATAATTGGATTAAAGTCTGATTAAAGGGGGGATTAAAGGGATTAAAGGGAGATCGTTCCAAAGACGGCAAGCAGTTACAACAAACTCTCTGTCGTAAACTGCGGTCCTATGGTGAGGCATACGCAAAGTTAATGATGCATGGCGTGAGTATCTGACACTTTCTTCAGCTACAAACCTAAAATCATCTACAAAATATTTTGGAAAATTGTTTTTTAATATTGAATTCAACCATGGGTTGACCGACAGTTTGGTGAGGTGGACTATTACCTTACCCAGTTTCTGACAGGTCACGGTTTTTTTTGGTCGTACCTGTCCAGGATGGGCAAAGCCGTGTCACCCGATTGCATCTACTGACCAGGCACTCCCGACGACGCGGAGCACACCTTCTTCCGCTGCCAGCGTTGGGAAAGTTCCCGCCTGGAGGCTGAACAACATGTAGGGCAGTTGTCGGTGGACACGGTCATTTCGATGATGACGGAGGATGAGGACAGTTGGACCTTTTTTTGGACACATTTCGTCCAGGGTATTCTCCGCACAAAGAAGCTAGAGCTTGACCGAGATGCAGTCTAGGTCATAGAAATTGAATGCCAGAAACGGCGCGAGCCCAGAGGGCTTAGGTCACACGTTGACCTGACCTGAAGTAATGTGACAAACAATCCCAGGTCTGTGTCCAACAGAGTAGAGTGGGTTTTTTAGTGAGTAGTCTGACAAGCTCAGGAGTCTCACACTACAGGCTGGCAACCTGTGTGCTTAAAAGCATTTTTACCTCCTCTCCCTTAAAAAAAAAAATGCTGTTACCTTTTTCTGCTTCTATTTACCTTTTTTGCAAAGTACTTTTTACACAGCTTATGGTAACAGGTAGTCAGCAAAAATAATTTTCTTAATCTTGGTATAATTGAGAGTATTGTTGAAAAAGAAGACACTTGTTCCCAAAAGTCACTAGTAGTCCAGTCAAGGAATGAGGTGTAGAGTGCGTGAGCAGGTAACTAAGCGATTCCTTCAGAAACTTGTTCAGGGGGCTTAGGGTGTTAACATACCAAAAGTCCTGACTCCTAGGTGGTGAGCCAGGGGGTGGAGGGGGGGAAAAGGGGGGGAGAAAGGTACGCATTTTGGGTTTTTTGATTATATCTCGAAAACTATCAACTTTTTGTATACTATAGTAAATTATAAAATTGAAGAAGATTAAATTTTCTACAAGAAAAGTACATAATGTGTTTATTTTGGTTCAACAGATTACGAGTTATAACTTATTTAGTTGATATCTTATTAAAATCTCCTTCCATAAGAAATACATGTAAATTAGTATGCGAAATGGGGCGAATCCTATCCGCCCAAAGGAAATATAAATGATATTCTGGAAATCTTGACAACATTTCCAGTAATTTGACACTTCAATCATTAAAATTGATCCAAAATTAAGGCGAGGGCGAGGTAACAAAATGTCGAGTTTTGGTGTTTTTTTATTGGAAATACAAAAAAAAACCTTAAATCATCCCATTTTTAAACACTCACCCTCGCTTTAATTTTTGACAAAATTTCATGATTAAAGTGTCAAATTACTGGAAATTTTGTCAAGATTTCCAGAATATCAGTTATATTTCCTTTGGGCGGATAGGATTCGCCCCATTTCGCATACTAATTTACATGTATTTCTTATGGAAGGAGATTTTAATAAGATATCAACTAAATAAGTTATAACTCGTAATCTGTTGAACCAAAATAAACACATTATGTACTTTTCTTGTAGAAAATTTAATCTTCTTCAATTTTATAATTTACTATAGTATACAAAAAGTTGATAGTTTTCGAGATATAATCAAAAAACCCAAAATTCGTACCTTTTTTCCCCCTTTTTCCCCCCTCCACCCCTGGCTCACCACCTAGGAGTCAGGACTTTTGGTATGTTAACACCCTAAGCCCCCTGAACAAGTTTCTGAATTAATCGCTTAGTTACCTGCTCACACACTCTACACCTACTTTTGGATCATTCATTGACTGGACTATAGGCTTCATCTTGATCAGAATGAATGAATGATGAATGAATGATATTTATTGGTACAAAACGTACTTACGGTCAGGCTTTAGTTCTCTCGTCCTTTAGACTACTACTTTGCTGTTTACAGAAATGTTTCCTCTTTACAGAGTAGTAGTAGAGTACAGATGGTTTAAAATGCGTTTCAGATTTTCTTGTGGACAATTCAAGTATGACCATGGGTGGAGTTCAAAAGTGTAAGTACAAAAAAACGCATAATGTCTCTTTGCTGAGAAGAGCTGTCTATACTAGAAAGAAATCTCTTAACTACAAAGTCATACAGTAATTAAAAATTTGCTTTACATTGTTGACTTCACTCATCAAATATTTAAAACTAGTCGAGTACCCGTCCTTCGTAAGGGGGATGGCATATAAGATTTAAAATGCTTATTGCAGTTGTACTCAAGCTTTGCGTTTGCAATAGGGGAGGACAAAGTTTGATAAAATTTGCTTCTTTAAATTGACGGTATACTAATGGTAATACACAGCTACCATAGCCATAATGTTCTACCACTTCACCTAAACAATAAAGAAAAATAAATTATTACGAATTCACAAAAAATCACAAACTATTCATGACATTATAAACATAAACATACATTATTGCGTATTACAGTTTTTTGTTGCTACTTGGTTCAAATTAGCTAAATGCAAAAAAAAATTATAGTGCTGCACCCTGTTGGTAAATCTTATAACTTTTTAATGCTTTTGTATAACATAGAATCAACTTTTTTAGTTAAAACAGCTGACTAAATTCTTTGATTCCCTTTAAATATGAATACTCATAAGGCTTACATGGGGAACTACGGAGCCACTGGGGTGTAGCACGAAAGGATTTTTGAGATAAGAATATGCCTATATGTTAATCGGGAATGTGACCTATCATCATGCCAAATTGCAGCCCAATCCGTCCAGTGGCTTATGCGTGATTGAACTTCAAACAAACACACAAACTTTCACATTTATAATATTAGTAAGATAAGATAAAAAAAATTTGACTTCCTGAAGAAATATTTAACATGAAAACGATTAACTCAAAACCATACAATTATCTTCCATTCATTCTCTAACAGTTTAAACATTTAAACAATCTGCAATTGGCAACAGTTTGTAACTGAGGAGTGTGCACAATTTTACTTGAAAAGCATTTACAGCAACATAGAATAAACCATCAACGTCTGTCATAACTTCTACAGATGTTGATGTTCTACCAATTAAATATTCTCCTCTCTTACTCAGTGTAAGAAAGTTGTGGGCAAACTCTTTAAATCAAACAAACTGCCAAAATTTAAATGTTATTCATGTAACCTTGCTGTATATTGCTGTGTATGAGCATATTTTATACAAATCTATTCCCAACTTTTTTAACCTCTTGAGAACCTAACCAGTCAGCTGTATAAGCTGCAATATTTTTGCAAATCGGAAAAATTGAGCTTATCTGGTTGTCGCTGCTGCTTTGATGGTCAGTGTTGATGCTAGACACAAAAAAAAACTCAAACTCTCAAAACAATAAAAGCATTGGCACACAAAACGATTTTGACATAATTTGCATGTCCCCTTAAATGGTGATGCGTATTGACCAGTTTGGAAACTATAATTATTCTGAGTTGTAGGGAAGAGGGGTGGAAAAATGGCAGCTGAGCTAATGAGGCATTGGATACTGACCACACGTACGGCAGAGATTGCGAGTATTTAAATAATGGCTCGTCATAAAGGGTTAAATTATCAATGATAAATCAATCAATCAATCAATCAATTATTTAAGATGGGGACGCCACTATGTGCGTATTTTAACCCAAATATGAGTGAAGGATGAGTGTAGGATGAGTGGCGCGATCTTGTAGTCTTGTTAGTGACTAAGAAGTCTCAGAACCAGGTAGAAGTTTTTGTGGTTTGGGGGTTGACAACAACACCCAGGAGACAAAGTATCATCTTAAAACCAATTTATTACACATGTGCCAAACATTGACTGATAGATTGAATAAGAACCTTTTTATACATTAAAACAACAGGTTTAAAAATCTTATCTAATATACAACCATACTTTAACACCATACTTTGTACAAGTTGTTAAGCAGCTAGATGAAAAATTTAGTTCCATGAACAAAATCACAGTTACTGAGATGCCGAGAATGTTGACGTCTGAAAATATGACCTTTCTTGATTGTCATCCGTCTGAAAAAAAACACACAAAATCAGTGAATACCGGTACATCTAAATAAAATACCATAGATTAGGACCCAGTTTGACATACAGATTTATTTGCAATTATTTCTATACAAGTACAGTAAAATGCAGACTAATCTAAATAAAGGTGACCAATCCGTTTCGGATAAGCTCAATTATCACTGGTAGGAGTTCAAAAGCTATATCTATCCAAAGAGATCTACAACAGTATTTTTATACGTTGTTTTAACTACTGTAGTTTTAAAATCTACATCTGTACTGTATACACAAAAACTATATCTTAAAATAAATAATCTAAAGAAGTTTTCTTGCTATTTATTAGATTTCGTGTATAGTAATTTTAATATTCCAGTCTAGTTTTGTTGATGTTGATTTGATTACTTGATTTTATAACTGCTGTTTTTGGCGTGATTTATTATGATTGTAATTGTTCAATGACCAAATAAAGAATCTCAAATCTTTTTTTATGAACTTATTAATCAGAGTATGAGAACTATGTCGTAGTCTCCTCCAATGCATTACGGTTGCCAAAGTCAATTCAACTATTCACGCAACGGCGGACAAGTTCCGTTGCCTAGCACATTTTCAATTTGATTTGAAATTTTTATAATAATTTCAGCTGACCCTGGTTTCGGTCAAACAAGGTTAAGACCCAAACCAAGTGACCAAGATCAACCAAAGAAAGACCAGTGATCAAGTGGTTTGTTCACTGTATTTTTAACCTACCTATATTAGGCTACATATTTTGTCAGATTTATCATCAAAGACCATGATGGGGGGATGGATGCTTACCTGTAAGTCATGAATGACATCCAGCGTATCAGGCAGCAAAGGTCGGACAGAGTTAATCTCCAGCTGTGTTAGGTGATCGAGCTTCGCTGTCCGAGCTTGACTCTTAATAAATACGTCCATTGAGGAGCGAAGCTTGGCTATTCGTAGATCCCACAAGTCCTACAATATTGTTAAACATTTAGGCTGAACAACTCTCAAAGTCAAACACTTTTGACCTGACATAGTTACATACAGTTCCAAGAAGCGTAGGCGGAAAGTATAAGAAGGAGTTTTTACCAATTCTGGAGGTAATTTATAAAAATTGTGTAAGATAACGGTTAAAACAATTCTCTTGTTACAATATAACCTTGACCTAATGTATTTTTAAATTAGTCAATACACTTGTTTTATATGATTAGAATTCCTACATTTTAAAGTAATTTCTTAAATAATGCTATTGAGCATGGACTTAAAATAAATGCAAAATATCTGCTGAAGATTTTTTGAAAAGACCACATTCCGCCCAAATAGTTTCTAAGTAAGATTGTCATTAATTTAATTTAGAATTTAAGTCTGATCAAATTAGGCCTATTCCTTTTTATGTTTTAAACGCTAAAAGTTCACAACAGAAAAGTAAAGTAATTAACTGATAATTTAATTGTTGAGAGACTGTAAAATACAAAATCTTAAACTTACAATAGGCCTAATGCCCCTTATTTTATTCAATTAGCATTTGCACCCATTTGCATGTTTTAAAATATAAAGTTGAAGGTAGCCTGTAGGCCTACACTTAACCCTTCCCAGACGGGCAAAATGGTGATATAGAACGGGAAAAAATTATAGGATAAAATAAAAATTAAATTTCCTTTTTTGTGTTTTGTTATACAAGTATACATAAAATAAACACAATAGAACACTTCATACTGTCAAAATATTTTTTTTTACTCGTTTCTAAATATGAGGATATATCCGCTACCCGTCCGCGGATGAGTATAAAAGCAGCGGATGTATCCGCCACCCATCTTTGAAGATATAACCATGACAACATTAGGCAATAAATAAAGAACAATATGTAAAGAATAAATAAAGACAACGTAGTGTTGAGGGCGAAACGTCGATGGGGAGCGTAGGAGAGGTGGGAGGTGAGAGGGGAGAGGGTGAGGAGCGGGAGAGGGTAGGCGCGTGAGAGAGGGGGGAGTGCGGGAGAGAGCGCAGCCATGGAGAGAGCAGGAAAGTGGCGCCTTGGTACCGCGAAACATCTGGTTACTGCTAAAGCACCTGCCAGTTTGTCTGAAGAGAAGGCGGAGATATCCGCTTCCCGCCTGGAACATCAAAAACCATAAGCGGATATATCCGTCACCCGTTCGGGAAGGGTTAAGTATTTACAATGGCCTAAGAGGCATCAAGTACTTGAAACTTCAAATTAAAGTACCAGTAAACTATTGGATTCCTATAATTTCTAGACAGGAGAGTTTTATTTGTACCTTGACTGCAGTTCTTATGGCATCTGGCCGCTGAATATCATTGCCGGCAACTGTCAGAACCATATGGGCCACTTCCATGTAATGTTCATTGGGCATCTTGGTGAAGAGTCTGAAAATAGATACCAATGTGTAAATAAACTATTAAATATACATATTAGGCTTTATATTATAAAACTTTTTTCAAAAGTTGGGAGCCATGGGTGGAGTTAGAGCTTATTCGTTGGGGGGAATGGGGTTGGCAATTCCTTCTACGAACTCACCGGGGGAGGTTAGGTTATTTTAGTGAAATTTATTATAATCTCAAACAAGGTAGACCTACCATTATAGAAATAACCTTTTAGGCCTACTAAACTCATGAAAAAAGATAACACGAAAACGTCAATTTGTTCCTTTAAAATTAGGCCTATAAATGTCACTAAGTTTAAATGTAGCACCAGCTGGGCTATTGCCATGGTACAATTAATTCAAACATGTAAACATAGAAATGTATTTGGTGTGGAAGATTGGCGGCCTCTTTTAACCTTGTGATGGCTTGTCCACATAGGCTTATTGACCTGTATGTGGAACGTGTCCAGAAAAGCGATGGGTGATCCGGAGAGTACAAGGGTGAACTGTACGGATAAAAAGTACTGTAGTGACAGTGACCAGGATCCGAACTCACGACATCGCTGCCTTGGGCCTGACATCCGTGAAGCTAACTTACTGACTGAGCCACCAATACACCTAAAATTGCGCAGACGCTCCATTATGAATCTGTGCAACAGCTGTTTCGGTAGGCCGGGACCAAGGTGTTTGCCACTTTTTGTCTTATATTAAAGAAATGACTGTCTGTTTAACGTATAAGTTACGCAAGTTACTTCATTCAGGCAATAGTTAACTTAAAACTTAGCTCTTGACTAAAATGTTGTCATTAGGTTTTAAAATCCTAAAGCAAGTTCTATTAGTCTAAGTTTATAATCTAGGTTAGCCTATATACGGTAGCCTACTTAAAAGTCTGCGGTTGGTGGGAGACAGACCATAAGAAGTGTTACTATCTGAATTTCAAATCATTTGTATATGCCTAACTTACGTATCTAACTTAGGTAACTCAACTTAATAGGCTATTATTCTTTCGGGTGGCCAACCACAAAATAGGGAAATGTTTAATTCAAATTACAGTAGGTATTAAGTGTGGTGTACTCTCAATCAACCCTGGTAGGTAGCCTAAGTTGTAAAATAAACAAAGTCAGTTGACAATCATTGCGAAACTCTACTTCTGTGAGTTATTGGCAGATTCACACGAATTGACTAGGCCTACATCGTAAACTTAATATCGAACATCTAGGCTAGGTATAAAACTATCAAAGCAACTGATAACTAAGCTCAACTTAACCACAACCTGCTTCTCACTGAATGATATTGGACAGATAAGTTAGCCTAATAATAATACAGACCTTGACTGTTTTTCCTCTTCCTTCTTCTCTAGAAGTGTATTAACATTCATCCATTCGGGCGCAATAATTCTACATTTCTGTTTTTGTCGTAAATGCACTGCAACCCATAAAGGCACAACAACAGGAAGCCCTGCTCGAAAAGGTCCTACATCACCAGATATTAAATGTAAAACATTATTACTTGTAAATTTCGGAATTATACTGACAGTTTGTCTTTCTGCTATAAACTCAATTTCTGATGGGTCCATTGCTAAGATTCCAATTCCCACAGCACTAATCTGTAATATTACTGTTAAATCTTTGGACCTAGGCCTAGGGCTAAGACAGGCTTTCAATTTTATTAATGTTCTTGTGGCAAGCGAGTGTATGAGAAAAGTGTTAACTAAATTTGCACGGCAGACACGAACATAATCACTGAGGAAACTGATAGCAGCGAATGAATTGAATTACCCCCGAGCTCGAGCTGTGTTTACCGACACTGACGAATCATGAAACAAACGTGTCACCAAAATTAAAATAATAATAATTTAGTTAGAAAAAACTAATAAACCTCTTCCTCTTCTTAGTACTAAAGTTGTTTCTTGTTTGTTGTTTCTGCTGATGACGGACGACGGAGGACAGATGGTTGAAACAAAAACAAAATTGAGCGGGCACGGTCACAGACACAGAGTAATAGTGAGCATTTTTTCCTAGCGCCACCAAGTGCATAGAGTATGGATAGGTTCGTCCTCATCGAAATCTGTGTTGATTCGCAGCCACCTTTCCCGTTGTTGGTTTCGATTGTTCTTTAATTTTACATTAAGTGAACTTACCTAATTAATTTAGGTTTGTGTTTTTCCGTAATTCCGTGTAAATACTTTTACTTTCCCATCCCATACCATTGTTAGTGGAGAAAGTATTGTTTTCGTAAATTTTTTTTTCGAGTTTGAGTGGACATATCCATTTGGGCCCCCTACACCAAAAAAAAAAAGGTGCCCCCCTGGTATTCGAATTTACCATGCTAAATTTTTATTATCCTGGCTATTTTCAAAAAATTCCATTTTCCCCTGATTTTTTATGGTTTTTATGGGAAAATCATAATTAAAAATAAAAATGTCTACAACATTAAAAAAACCCCTTGGAGTACCATGGTTAAAAACCTACATACCAAATTTCATCATAATCGGAATACAGGTGTGGTACACGTGGGTACACACGTATCGTAGGTCTGTCCGTGTGTACCACACCTGTATTCCGATTATGATGAAATTTGGTATGTAGGTTTTTAACCATGGTACTCCAAGGGTTTTTTAATGTTGTAGAAAGTTTTATTTTTAATTGTGATTTTCCCATAAAAACCATATAAAATAAGGGGAAAATTGAATTTTTTGAAAATAGCCAGGATAATAAAAATTTAGCATGTTACAGTCCTTTAAATTCTTAACAATATCGTTTAATCCCGTTGCTGCATAAATTGGTTTAGGAGTTAGTTATTGTAACTTATATGTTATTTTCCATGATTAAAATAAAGAAAATTTGATTTAAAAAAGTAGGTTTTGATTAAAATTAGTATGTGATGGTCCTTATAATTCTTAATGACCTAGTGCAACTTTGCTGTAAAAATTACGGTTCAAAATTGTTGTACTGGTAACTTATGTTATTTTCCCATAAAAAAACAGAAAATTCTATTTTGAAAATTATTGCAACTTTTTAAATTTTCCTTATAAAATATCACAGTCTAACGGGAGAAAGTATATGTGTCAGATTGTTGATACTGCTTATTTTACAAATGGAGTCAGTTTGTACTGAACAAATCAGTTACATGGTGTGTTTGTTTAGATTATTTCAGTCTAATTTCCACGGACAAAACGCTGACATTTTATTTTTACAACATAGCATAACTCAAAACTCAACCAACATGTGTAGGGTATGCTCCGATTGTCTGGTGCAGAAACTAACTTTATAGTTATGATGTTTTAACCAACAAAAGATAAGATCGCGAATAATATTTTGGGTGAAGAATGAATACCGGTGGTGACAGATATGTAGTCCCCCCTGACAATAGGAATAGATTTTTACCAATTGAGCGGGAAGAAATAATTTAATTCATAACCAGTTAGCAAAGATTAAAAAGAAAATCCAAAATATTCCAGTAAATTAAGGGTTACACAAAGTTGATCATTTGAACAAAACACTGTGGGAATATTCTGTATCCATGCTAGTAGACTATTTAGTTAAATACTTTATAACATCTCAGAGCAAAATTTAATTGTTTAGTTTTATTACTTTTTTTGTAAATTTTTGTATTTGTTTTGTACATTCTTGTGTTGTGTTGCAACTATAAACATTTTAAATGGTTGTAAATGCTTGACCATATCGAATCATATCAATAACTGGCTGGGTAGCCGAGTTATTCTACAACACAGCTAGAGGAGGGATACGATTAGATGTCCCATCTCAAAGATCTGCAACGTATAATGGAGAATGACCAAGGGAAAACTGTGAAGAAACGTTATGAAAGCTTGTGCTTTCAGCACTTTCCATTTACATCTTGGTGACAACTGTGTATGCGATAAAGGTCTCTTTGTTAAAATATACTACATTTCACACATACAACACAAGCAAGGTGCTAGAGCAATTTCCTCAACATGCCTACCACCAGAAAAGAGACAAAAGTAAACCTTTGTATGCTCCCAGTGTCAAAAAGGACTAACCACCGAATCGATGAAGTGCATCTGGAATCTGGCAAATTTCACAGAAATGAGTACAGTAATTACTAATTATACACAGCAAACTCTTGGGTTGATTTTTAATCATAAAAAACCCAAATGAAGGGATATGTAGTCAAAAATCATGATAAACAAATTCATACCACAAGTGTTAAAAGGGACAAAAATACAAATCATTGAACCGATAATGGTTACAGGAATCAAATAAGTAGTAAAGAGGTTCATTCACAAAATACTGCATGTTTTGGAAATGTTACTGTTTTTTTGTTTTGTTTTTTTTTACCACACAGTTAACAAACATGTAGATTAACTTAACATAATGTAAAAAAATACAAAATATTATATTTTTCTTTGCGATTTCAAAGTTTCACAACTTTGGGGCTAGTACCATAAGCCAACTCTTGCTATAGTGTCTCCTGCTGGGTTGGATTTAAATGTTCTTTTTATCAGTAAAGTCACCCAACATGTCTAAGTACACGTTGGCAAGTCGGTTTTGCTTTGACAGAGTATGATTAACCTGAAACAAAATTTTATAAGATTAGTAAGTGCACAGTGAAAGCGAATTTTTATCAATGATATTAATTGAATATCTTAGCTGCATCTACAACACATATAATAGTTTTATGTTGTTTTGAGATTCATTGGATGGTAATTGGTAAGACAAACTTTAACTTTTGTCGAATATAACTATTTATTATGATTTTGTATAGACCTATGTATATTGGTTAGTACCGTACTGTACTTAGATTTAGATAACTTGTTACCATATTGTGACGCTTATGTACGCTACTAGTTACAAGTTTACAGAAATTGTATCATTAAATAAGCTAACTATTGTTTGTCAACAAAAAGGGCAAAAGTCAGTTTATTCCATTTGAGATTCAATAATTGGTTCATATTTCAAAAAAATGATTAATTTTGACACAAGTGAAATATTTATTTCTCACCTCTTTCTTCTCCATCTCTATCAGTTCATCTTCAATTTCATTTTGCCTCAGTTTATTAATTTCTTGCTCCTGTTTCGCTTCATACTTCCTCTTCTCTTCTCTCAAAACTTCAATTTCAGCATCTTCTAATCTTCTTTTCACATCTTTCAACTGTTGTTGCCTGACTTTCTTCCTTAAAAGTTTCAACTCTGCCAGTTTTCTTTTGAGCTCCGCGTTTTTTCTGAACAATCCTTCGGTATCAAAATATGCCGGATCTTCATATTCAAGTTCGGAAGCAGATTCTTGATAGTCCTGAGGAAAAGTTTAGATGCTCTTCATTTCTTACAAATTAAAAACATGAATTCAAAATAAATAAAGAGTCGGAAGACTTTGCAGCCAAGCCAATAACAATAAGATTACACACAACAAAGTATTTTATAAAAATAACAACACAACCAAAATCTAAATTAAATATATAACTTATTGCGGTTTAAAATTTTAACTATATCTCTAATCCATTTAATACTTTTACCAATAAGAAACTGATGAAAGCAGCCACTTTTCTAAAGTAGCTACTTGAAAACTATTTCCTGCACAGTATTCAAAACTTCAATGAAATTCTCATATAAAATCTATGAACCTTTAAACTACATTACCTTCCACGAAGGGCCTCCTGTGAATTCGACGTAGTTGTGCTCTACGAGCCGAGAGCGACAGTAATAACCAATATTGTAGTCTTGGATGCTCATTCGACATTCCAAACCCGCGCAGCAATGGCGGTCAAACTTGCACTGTAAAAGAATGGCTGGGATGAGAAAAAGAAAGTTATGTTATGATTTACGCACATAATTTAAAAATAGTACGTAGAATTTCTTGTTAAGTTAATTGATGTTTTTAGGAAAAAGCATTTAGCTTGGATTGAATAAATAATATTTATGAAATATTGTGTTGTATTTAATGATACAATTTCTGTAAACTTGTAACTAGTGGCGTGTATTAATGAAATATTTATTCAATCCTTGTTAAGTTAATTGTTATAATAAAATTAATGCTCAGTAGAACCACGATAACGTTTCCCTCATGGGTATTATCAAATAAGACTTTTAATAAAGGTGGATTTCTTATAAAAAACTGCAACTCCTGTTGTCACCCAATTGTTCAGTATGTTATAGAAAATCAAATTAGCTATTATTTTTCGAGCACCCCCCCCCCCTTTGGTGGCGCCACTACACCATGTTTAGGGTAGCTTTGTTACTAATTCCAGACACACTGTTGTTCAATTCTAACAGCTGTATATTCATCCAGCACTATTTATCAAAAGTCTAAATTCAGCATAGCTGAAACCATCTTCTAGCTATCAAAAAAAGCTGATGACTTTTCCTAGCGACCTTTTAATTGTTAGGCAAGCATTGTCATCACTCAGGTACCCAGCTTAAGTTGTAATGCTGGCAGTAAAGAAAAAAATAACAACTGAATTATTCATACTTAATCTCCATGAGGCTGATTCTCCGTCTTAGTTTGGCAGGAGGAATTAAAGAACCAAGAGAAACTTTCTAAAATAAGATCGTTACTTACCAGTTGTCCACCCCTCTGACATTTGGCTTTTGTTGAAGGGCCGAAGTGAGGGACTATCAAGTCAGCCAGGTTCCAACCGTAACATTCCAGACTGAACACAGTCACTAACAACAGGCTTATCAACATATCTGATAGTGGTTGATATCAACCAAGTAATTATTGCAGTTTCTGAGATACACAAGTGTGGAATATAAGAAGATTAACTTGTACAGATCTAAATGTGACAGAGTAAAATGGATTTTTGCAGATGTATTATTGATTGACAATTGCAATTGCGGCAGGACAAACTCTTGATTTTACGACCACTAGTGGCTATTTTACGTATTTATTTTAAAAATATACCACAAAGTGGTATTGTTTACAAAATACTAGTAAAACAGTTATCAATAATACAGAAGGATGAAATTCACCTGACAGAAGGGATAAAGTTTGAACTATCACATTTCAGGTTTACCAACTCTAGGATTATAGTTTTGGTTAGATGGGGCTCGCTTAGCATTTGATAGCTACAAACTATTAGAACGCAAAATTTATCAACAACTAACAATACGTTTTTGTTTTAAAGTTCTTAAAATATTGAAATACTTTCAATAGAATGAAATACTTAGTTCTTTAACCGATTGACACAAGAATGCTTATTATGTCTTCATTATCAATGTAATTTTGTATATTTCATTTTATGTCTTTGATTGGTATATGTATTTTGAAACGATATGTCCTTATTTAAACAAAATAAAACCATAAAAAGACAAATTTGTATCCTCCTCCACTATACGAGTGTGAAAAGAAGCAAAACAGGTGTTGTGTGCAATCCCTGCTTAACTCACCAATGCCTTCTCTTCCACCCCAGCCGAGCACCATTTACCTAAAGTGGGATCTCCCAACGGCTAGTCTCATTAGTAGGCTTAGTATGGATTGCAAACGTAAAAAAAATCCGAGCCTTCGCATATAGAGAGACCGCTACATTCGTCAGTGCAAAAAATTAGTCAACTCAGCTTTCATGTCACTCTCGGCCAGCTGAGAGTGGACTAAAGACTTGATGCAACACTAGCGCTCACAGGGGAGATATGACAAATAACTCAAGCGACAGTGGGCTAGTACTACGGCTGCCTTGCTGCAAAACTCTGTGACGAGCTACACTCGTAACACCATCTTAAAGGGCTAACAAAATGTATCTTGAGCTGGTGAGAATTTTTTATGGAATTTCTATCAAACTAAACGACATGGTCAGTTTTAGAATCTGTAAAAGTATGATTAAAAAAAATTTTGATCAATACTTTGTTATGTTACTTTAATGATCTGTTGTTGGTTAAAACAATAAACTTGTAAATTATTATTTTATATTTTTTTTAGATTCAAGCACTGTGGTGCCACTTACAGTAGCATACACTTTAACACTTCATGAATAAAACATATTTAAAATTTAATTAAATTCTATAAAATGGCTGGCAGCCTATAAGTTACTGTCAGTTACTTGGTGAAAAAGTTTTACAATAGTTAGAGCCTAATAAAAAATAGTATATGCCTTTTCAAATAATGGTAGATGACAAGAGACAATAACAATATTTATAAGAACTTTTATTGAAAATAATATCACAAATTATAAAACAATTAATTACACAACTTACACTAGTCTCTTCCCATTGGTTGATTAAAACTCCATTTTCTGATCTGCAAAAAATGTTCAAAATTACTTTATGTTGAAAGTTAGTTGGCCTATAAATAATAAAGAAATATGATTTTATAATTTTCCTACAAGAATAGTCTAATAAAGTAAAAATCCCATTCTTTGTTTTAGTTGTCGTTTTATGATATTATAAAGTTGTCGCTAGTTTTAGGATGACAAGAAAATGAATATACAGTAGGTGAATTGAACCGGGGAGCGAGCTGGTTTAGTGATACAGTGCAGGACTTCCGTGCCCAAGTACCAGGGTTCAAATCCCACCAAATAAAATAACTAATTTCTGTGTTATACACAGACTTAAAAAAAGGCAAACTGAAAGATCACTACTGCATATAATAGCATATTTAAGGCGATGTTAATTATTATCAAAGTGTCAAAAACTAAGAGTAAATGTAACTTTGACAGCAACACACTCTATCAGAGGCCCGTGTAACTATGTTCAATTTGAATGAAACAGTACAGCTGGTTAATAGCGATGAGATGTGTCTCATAGTATCCACAACTCAACAATTTCAGTTTATGCACATTGGTTACTAAAGTATAAGAATACTAGAAAGTTTGGCATTTTATTGTGCTGAAGAGTAAATTAAATCCAGTAAATATTGCTTGTTTATGGATAGTGTAAGTATTTTAAAAGTTTCTCTATCACATTGTAGGCTTCAAGTGTTTCATTAAAACATAACATAAGTTTTCCCATAGATTAACCAACAGGGACGTATTTAAGTAACTGCTGCCTGTAGGCAACAAAGTTTGCCCCCCCCCCCCCTTACTTTTCAGCCCACTCCCCGACCTCACTAATATCACCGCAATAGCCAATATATGCATAAAAATAATCGGCAATATTGTTAAACAAGGTTTTAAATATCAAGAAACAAGCTGCAAACTAAAAACGCCCCTAAAGGCATCGGACAGAACTAACATTACAATTGTCTCAGGCTGATCCATAGGGATGACAAATCTACTAAGGGAACGTTTAATCTATAGTTTATCTCTACAACAAACCTAATTACTCACTGAGTAGATGTAATTTACACTGGTCGTGGATTCAAGTGTGTAATTCCTTATGTCCTGAACTAGACTTAGTCAATAAAAACTTAATACAGCAGATTTATTACGTTTTGTGTAGCTGAAAGCAAGCAGTTTAGAAATATCCTAACTAGGCCTAAAGTGAAACATACCACTGATCTCGATCTTTTTGCCCTTCCAAGTCGCTTCAAGTTTTCTCAAAAACTCTTCAAATATATGGACGCTGGTGTTCAATGAGGTCTTCTTGTAGCCTTTTACTCTTTTGCTGATTTCGTCGTCTGTTTTGTTTTCCGTTTGTTTCTCATCGAATCGGCTCAGCTCTTCAATCAACTCACTGAAACAAGGACTAAAGTCGTAAGTGGTGGTTTGATAATACAGCTGATTGTTTTTACTGGGAATTTTACGTACATTAATTCTTATTGGACCAATTTGAATTTGACGTGGCCACATCAATTGGTACAGAAAAAGTGCAGTAGGATATAGGACAATTTGAAAAGATTCGACATTCAAAGATCATTAAGTTCAATAAACTCCTTATTGACACAACTAGGGAAACCCTATATATATTGCAGACAAGGTCTGTTTGGTAAAATATACAAGTTTTATTCCTTTCCATATAGAAAATAACCAGCTTTAGCCTATTCGTCTAGTATTGTCATTGACTGTAGCACAGCAAGTAGATTTCTCATCCTCATAGCGTCCAAATTTTATTTGCTGCATGTTTCAGGTGTATTATTCTGACTAAAGGTTATTCTCTATTTTTTTAAATAAGTTTCATAGAATTTACTTTTGGTTATACAACTTGATGACAATAGTGGTTTACCAGCAGATCAACTGTTTGATGTTAATAATTTTTATATTGAAAATCCTATAAATGATGGAAGACATACAAAATCAACCATTGGCTAATCCCACATATGTCCATAAAGCTAAATCTATATATATATATAGCCTTGTTTTTAATCTTCTACATCAATTTTGTCAACTCATTAAAATTTTTGTTCAATCAGCAGCAGAGCCAATTAGGTACCTGATGGTTGGAACAGTTGTGGGATCAAACTTCGAAGCACTTCTCGGTTTGAAAGGGCAACAGACTTTTCCTGTCTTCGGGTGGATACAAAATGGAGATTTCAACAAATGGTTTAAGCCTTTGGACACATTTATATCCAGCCTAGGGTAAGCGTACTGAATCATGATCTCGTCTATGACATGCTTCCCTTTCCACCTCATGGAGCCCTGAAAGTAATAAAAAAATTATAAAATATTTGCATCATTGTAAAAAGTTATGATAAAAATACATTTATTTCTTGCCTAGGCACGAAGGCCATTGAAAATATCCAGGATGATATTGACATAAGTAAAAGTACAACTGATGCAGTCCTAAAGTTAGATTGCCAAAGAGAAAAAATGAGCTAATTTTTGTCTATAACACTTCTACATGTATGTTTATTCTCTATTTATTGTATGTAATAAGGTCAAATCTTCAGACTATGTATGTAAATTATATTTTAATAACTGCAATTTACTAAGTTGTTATAATCCTATTCTATCATAGAAATACATCTCTTACACACAGGATGAAACATGATTGTAGCCTCTGATGCCTGATTTCCTATTTTTAATTGCTTTTCACTTTTCTGATGAAAACGAACCTAAATGACTTAAAACTATATTAGAATAGTACTGTAGTATAGTAAGGTTAAAACAGTTATTTTAACATGAAAGATCGCTTGGGATCGGAAGGGATTTTTCCAAAAGTAATGCAGGTTCAGGATTTGTTGTTGTGCAAAAGCAGACCCGTCAAGCAGGAGTTCTGTTTTGATTGTGAGGATATACTGTCCCTTACCTATATTACGCCAGATAAAATGGACTAAATTTAAACATTCTATCGACTCACTTTCAGTTGAGCTTGGCTTATGACTTGTTGGAGGGCCGTCCACCTCTTTTGTGACGTGCTGTGATTGTTTAGCTCCTTTTCTGCTTCTTCACGCACTTTCTGATCCGGGATCAAGGCGATAACTTTTTGAATTCCCTCCTTGGTTCCAAGAAAATCTTGATCTTTAACGATCATTTCATCAAATTCTTTGGAGATTATGTTTACAGCGCGTCTAAAACACAAATTAAAAAATAATATTTAGTAGAATTCATTTCCTACTACTGGAACATCAATGCTTATAATTTCTGTATAGGTAGGTTACATGATATGTAAGCTAATATATCTAATATATCTGCTTGTGGTTATGATGGAAATCAGAATATTACAGATAGAAGTAAAATGATAAGATCATTAAGGATACATATTATTCTATGTTTACAATGAAACCTCGATTAACAATCACCTAAAAATCAAGCTCTATTTGGCTGTTTTTAGTATTTTTACAGTAAGTTTTTGGCGTTTTTAAAAAAACCTATAGGTCTACAGTGTATATACCTATTACTATTAGCACAGTTATAAAAAGTGTTGATTCTTTCTAAAATCATTGTAATTTTCTAAATTGTTGTAATTTATTAAGACATTTCTGTTATCAGTTTAATTTCTGTTATCAGTTTATTGCTATTAATTTAACCGCCGAAGATCCCATGGGTGACGGTTAATACCGTACCTAGATCTTACTGTATTTTAATAGGTAGGCCTATCCACTTATTTATGATTATTATATAACATTTCATTTTATGGTAATGAAAATAAGAAAATGTTATTAGTTGGTTGAAAACAACTCAAGATGTCCTGAGCAACGTATAACACAAATCAAATGACTTAAATTAATGCCTTGTAGTACAACCTGTCTAATTTTGTAATGTTTTGCTAACTTTTAAATGGTTGTTTTTACTTCTCGATAGTGATAAACTCTGTGATATTAGTTTAAGACCAATCTTACTAATATTATAAATGTGAAAGTTTGTGTGTTTGTTTGTTTGTTTGTTTGTGTGTTTGAAGTTCAATCACGCATCAACCACTGGACGGATTGGGCTGAAATTTGGCATGATGATAGCTTACATTCCCGATTAACATATAGGCATATTTTTATCTCAAAAATTCTTTCTGGCTCCGCCCCAGTGGCTCTGTAATTCCCCATGTTAACCTTATGAGTATTCATATTTAAACGAAATTAAAGAATTTAGTCAGCTGTTTCAACTAAAAAAGTTGGTTCTATGATATGGAAAAGCATTAAAAAGTTATAAGATTTACCAACAGGGTGCAGCACTATATTTTGTTGTATTTCTGAAAACAGCTAATTTGAACTAAGCAGTAACAAAAAACTGTGATTCGCAATGAGAACTGTCAAAGTAGGATTGTTTACATAACATAACTATGTTTACGTTTTTCATGTCATGAATAATTTGTGATATTTTGCGTATTGTTGATAATTTATTTTTCTCTATTGTTTAGGTGAAGTGGTAGAACATTATGGCAATGGTAGATGTGTAATACTATAGAATACTGTAAATTTAAAAAAGCTAATTTTATCAAACTGTGTCCTTCCTTATTGCAAACGCAAAGCTTGAGTATAACTGAATTTTATACTTATATTCCAACCCCGTACGAAGGACGGGTACTCTGCTAGTAATTATATAACTTAAAATGCAATTTTTTTTCGTAGACTTCAAAGTACTTTGTAACTTACTTCTCAATTTGACAACTGCTCTGCATGAAAAATGTTTGACTCTTCCAATACATTTGTAATATGTCTACTGGAAATAAACATGTCTTATGTCTTATGACCGAGAATTTATTTAATATTTTAAACCAGTTATAAGTTATATACACTAATGTGTTTCAATGGTGAAGCTCATACGTTTAAATCCCTGATACATTTAAGTTAACAAAAAAAAACTATGGATAATTTAAATAAGGTCTTAATTTATATTAAAAATGGTTACAAAACTTCTACTTGCTTCTATTTTACTATAAAATGGCAGCGATTACGTAATAAAAATTATTATTTATGGATGTATTGCAATGGCTTTTGATCACGGTTGGCTTTTGAAAAGCATACATAACAATTTAGAACTATTTTTTCCTTTCATCCTAAAAATTTAAAATATGGATAAGGGCTCTCACCCTTTAAAAGTACAGTACTTTGAAATTAAATTACTAACTAGTAACTACAATCTTGTTTAAAACTACAACATTTATGGTCTATGTTGACATGGGTAAAAAAATCTTGTTGTAGCTGCACTTTCAAAGTGATTCCATCTCGTAAAACATTAGTCCTCATTGGTTTAGATATAACCTAAAAAGATATGTTGATCCACTGTTGTAACAGTGGGGTCTAAAATTGAATAGCCTAAAAGTAAAACCTACTTGATGGAAGGGTGCATTTCGGAGGGAATGGACACTTTCTTGGCCATATTTTCTCCGCCAGAGACAAGCTGTAGGTACTCAGCGACAGCTGAACGAGCAGATTGGTCGAGTATTCTGGCTGAGGCGTCACACACCCAGCAATGGACTCCTCGGCGACCCGAGAACACCCATAGAAGGTGCTCAAACCCAAAGTCATCTAAATACCAACAAGAAAAATATTCGCTTTATTTAATTTTAATTCAACAGGTATACAATTTTATGACAGAAAGTATGACAGCAACAAATGATCTTCAAACCCAGTTTCACCACCAAATGGTTAATACAAACTTTTCTAATTGCTCCTTGTTACCCATTAAAACCTAGGTAAGTTTGATAAGATTCACAATAAAATTATCATATGTATGGATAACTAGCAGAGTACCCTTCCTTCGTACAGTGTTGGCATCTAAGTATAAAATGCTTATTGCAGTTATACTCAAGCTTTGCGTTTGCAATGGGGGAGGACACGGTTTGATAAAATTTGCTTTTTTAAATTTATGGTATAACTTACTTTACACTATTACACATCTACCATAGCTATAATGTTCTACCACTTTACCTAAACAATAGAGAAAAAAATATTAAAAATTCATAAAATATCACAAACTATTCATGAAATTAAAAACATAAACATAACTGTAAACAATCCTATCTTGACAATTCTCATTGCGTATCACAGTTTTTTGTTGCTGCGTAGTTCAAATTAGCTGTTTTCATAAATGCAAAAAATAGTGCTGCACCCTGTTGGTAAATCTTATAAATTTTTAATGTTCAAGTAATCAAGTAGTCTATTTTCATTTTCATAAACGGTTTCTTCTCTTGTTTAAAATCTTACTGTGGTTGTAAATAACGATGACAATCAACTGAAAGGTTATCAGCTGTTAAATGACGACATTTTTTCATAGAAATTACTCACTTCGCAATGCAGAGTCAAGTATTTTCGCAGCCAGAGCCATGAATTTCCAGCACTTGGAGCAGATGTCGGTGCCGGAGCAGCAGGTCCTCACGTCGTCGTAGTCTGTCATGTCGATGTCAAAAACCAGCTCCTTGTGCTGCGGAGTGAACACTGTCTGTTTTCGCCGGTCTTTAGGCCTAGTAGACAAATCTCATTAAGCATAGCTATTGCGTAAGCAGATATCCCATCTATGAACCAGCTGCAGTTTTTTTTTACTAAAAAAGAACTTAGTTGAATAAGCTAGTCACAGATTGTACAAGTTTGAAATTTGTTTTTCTCCCTTAGTTGTCATTGGAATGATAGTTTATGTTAGCCTACATAAAATTATCTGATGTAAGACTAAATTACTTACACAATTCCCGTCACAGCTCAATAAAATATGTCTATTCAGGACATTTTTCGGTGTTAAAACACCATCGTCAACTTCAGGTACATAATGTAGAGCTGATCAGTAGTTAACATCGTCAGAAGATAAAACACAGTATGAACATTAGTTTCTTAAATGTTTAATTGTTTTATGTATTTATTCGTGTTTGTACTGTGTTTATCTTCTGACAATGTTAACTACTGATCAACTCTACATTATGTGGACCTGAAGCTGACAATGGTGTTTTAACACTGAAACATGTCCTGAATAGACATATTTTATTGAGCTCTGACAGGAATTACGTAAGTAATTTAGTCTTACATTACGTCCAACAGCTAAGCGGCTACACATGGATTAAAATTAAAATTTTTTAGTTTGCAATAAGTTGAACTATCAGTTTGGCTAAAAAGTTAGTGTATTTTTATTTTACATTAGCACACTCGCTAATGTAATGGGGATGGCTTAATTTAACTAAGTAGCTTACTTTTTATTCTACAAATTGGCTGCAAACCTAACATTGGATTGGAGTGGCTAGGTAAATATCCATAGTACTGTACAGGGAAAACTCTACATACATTTTTTATACAGATTTTTGAAGCTACATAAGTTACCTTTATTATAAAAATATGTGCCACCAAAGTATGTTCCTTACGAAGGAAAAAATACTAGGCTTGAGAACTTAGTTGAGTAGCAAGACAATCTGTTGCTCGAAATGGGAAAATATACATTGGTTCTTTTAGACGACATTTTAATATTGAATAAACACGATCAATTACAAGATACAACCTCTTATTTCTTTAAGTCAGTGAGTGAAGTATAACTGTGGCCTTGGTTAATTTGATCAATAAGTAACGGCAACAAAAACAATACAAACATAAGAATGTAGGCATAGTTTATTCTTTCTGAAATTTCTAAATTACGTTACCAACAATTAACATTTAAACTTACTTTTTATTGTATACAGCTCCGATGTCAATTTTGTATGGACATTTCTGCTGAATAGCTTTCTCCATTTCATCCTGATTGTTGAACGAAAGGTATCGGATATAAATGTCATCTTGAAGGGTGAAAGAGAACTCTCTGTTCGGAAAACAGTTCGGGTCCACTGTAGATAATAGACACAATTAAAGTCTATACAGATTTAATTAACTAAGGGCCTAGTAAAGTTATTATAATGCACCTTTTTGGTTTCAAACTAACTTTTTTTGTAAGTATTTCAACTCGTTTAATATTCATTGAAATATTTAAGCCTACAAAAAGATTAATGGTACAGCTCTTGACACCTAAGCTGGCACTTAGCCGATCGCTACTAGCATCTAGTTAAAAAACAATATGTGCTGGCGTGCAGGTTGCGTTAACAGTCCTCGCAACCCATGCACTCAAATACATGATAAATTACAAGGGGAGACTACCCCGTGAGTCAACATAAAAGTTTGCAATCCGGTCTTTTCCTTACCTCCACCCTCCTCCTGCCTACACTGCCCGCGCTAGGCCAAGTGCCAGCTTAGGCCAGGGCCACACTTGTAATTTTTAACCAGCGAGACTGTTTTTTCCGTTTTCACGTACGACGCACGTGAAACAGTTTGCCCGTGGCCACACTCGTCTTACGAGATAGGTTTTTCGGGCAAACCAGCGAGACTGATAGAGCATGCCACACTGGCAATAAAAATCGTCCGTGTCCGTGTTCCGCCTCCCCCCTCCCACGCTCACTGTACAGTACATCAGTCAGGAAACGTCCGTGGAAAAAATTCAGCGAGATAGGATGAGTGTGTTCACTCCCATAAGCCGCAATGCCCCGCGACTAGTTTTACGTGCAACGCCCGTAGAATGTTAGTAGAGAATAAACGTGCAATTCCGTTTGTCAGTCTCGCTGGTAAAACCAGCGAGACTGACAAACGCGTTCACGGACGTTTTCACTCTAGTGTGGCCTGCCCCATATACCGTAATGTATCTCTCAAACCCACGGGTAACGCCCATGGAAAAAATTCAGCGAGATGAGTGTGGCCCCGGCCTTACGTGTCTCGAGCTGTAAGTACCTATAATTTTATTTGAAAATTAAAAGTGACATAATTTAGTTCATAAGCTAACTTAATAATTTAAATGGTTACCGGTAACTTAGGATTAACAATACTGCCTTCACTTGCTGTTTAATAAGTTGGGCCTAAGTGCATCCTATTCATGACTAAAAGCAACTTAGGTATGGCTTGGTTTAAAATCTCCATTCCAAAAGAGGAAAATACAATTTTATACGTTAGGCTATAGCATATTTTTAGCTGCAGTAGAACTATTATGAAAGGTAGGCTACAAATGATTAAGACCCAGGCCTAGGCTTTTGTAGGGACAAGGATACATCATTCAGCTAAAAACGTCAATATACTTACAGTTACCATAGCTTAACCATCGGTAGTATGGACCAAAGGGAAACAACTTTTTGTAATACAAAGGCAGCATATCTGGAAGTTGATCGGCTGAATAACCGCTCATTTTGTCTCAATCTGTAAAAAAGACAACATTTTACAATAATTAAAAGACGCATTAGTTTAATTGACTAAATTGGTAAACAAAATAGGCCTACTTTAGAATAAGTAAGTGTAACTACCCAGTGGCGGATTTAAGGGGGGGGGGGCTGAAGCCCAGGGCGGCAAATTTTAAAAGTAGGCTATGTATGATTTTTTTTTATTTTGAGATTTCAAAAATATATTTAGCTTAAATAGAAAAAATAAACTTTATGACTTGGAAATTCGAAGGTTGAAAATTATACGAACTGCAATGATCAAACCTTTCCTCACTTAACCTCCACTAATATCATGCTCCAACCAAGCTTCCATCCCCGAAAACAGCCATGGACTCGTTTGAATCAGCGGACAGCGAATTGGTGTGATGATTCATTTTCTCGCGAGTTACTGATGCGATGCGACTGATGCCAATTCGAGCGATATTAGGTACGGTATCCACTGTTTTGTTGTTGACAGTTGACATGTTTATGATGTCTATGTCACTGCAGTGATCAGCTTGAAGTGAAGTCTTGAGGTTAGGAATTAGGAAACAACACAAACAGCCAGCTGTCATGAAACTTTTTAGTACAGAATTGAGAGATAGGAAATAATTATAAGTAGGCCTATTTAGAATCGTAAGTATTTAGTATCGTGATGGAAAATGTCCGCAATAAACCTTTGAACAGCAAGTATTTAGAATATTAAGGAAGTTTTGATTCCAGATCATGTGAGTTATGTTATTTCAATAGACTAAAATTTGTATAAAAAATTAAATACCTCAAATCAAACTACCGGTACAATAGGTTTTTTTACTAGGCCTATTTACCATCTGATTCCATTCCAACTCCAATAAAATAAAATAGTACCTATTTAGGATTTATCTGTTGTAAAACCGGTAAAACACTGTTGCAAACTAACTTAGGCTACGATAATTTAATCAAAACTTCATTTTACTTCAAAAGTTTTAAATCTCGTTATCAAACCACTTGTTTACTTTCTTATTTTAAATTATTCTCGTGGCTGTGGTAATTAATTACTAATGAGTTAGTATGCAATTAAAACATAATAACAATGATATAACTTAGTGATGAGAATATAAGATACTATAAATCAAAAGCTAGCGGGGAGATTCAGCTACTGTGTAGGCCTAACTAAGTGGTAAAAGACAGGTGAGTTGAGGCCTAGGAGCATTAAACATTAATGTTAATACCTCCTAGGTTGAGGCAGACGGCACTCATTTAGTCATTAGACCACAGTGATTTGGCATCGACCTGCCCCAAGAAAAGTGTACACGGTTGGAGGGAGGGCCAAATTGTGGATAGCCCAGGGGCGGCAAATCTTCAAATCCACCTCTGTAAACTACCAATCACCCTACATGTAAATAATTGCTTGGTAAGTTATAGGCCTAGCCTAATAAGACAAATATTATATATTATTATCATTGTATTCCGGACATGTAAATAATTGCTTGGTATAGCCTAATAGGACAAATATGCATTCTTATCATTATATTCTACTTATGGAAGTATCTGAGATCAAATCACTGAATATTTAATCAAATATTGTCTACTAAGACACCTAGAAGTCGAGTGAACATAACCTATACAGTACAGACAGGCTACAGCAAATAAGCTATTTTTTCTACAGTTACTGATATTACTTACAATATTTGATTAAATAAATGTATCAAGAGAATAATTACCTTGGCTCCTCTCGCTTTTAAACTGATTAGTAATAGTTAACAATTAACACATAAACGAGAAACTTTAAAAGCTAGTTTAGCTAAGCTCCAGGCTAGGGCTAGACACCTTGGCGGGAAACAAAAATATGTTGTTATGTTGTTATTTTTGTTCTAAGTAAGTTCTAATAACAATCATGTTGGGTTGGCTATGATGCAAGCCCATGTAGCTTTACACTAATAAACAATTTTCACTTTTTTCGTTAGTTTCTTTGAAATAAGAAAATTTATTGCACGACCTTAAAAAAATTGCTACAAATGGTTTTGTATCGTTAATTTAATCTAATCGGTGTATTAAAAAACATAGTAAAAGTCTAGGAAAATGGGAATCCCGGAAGTGGGTTATTTTCAAGATGGCGCCTAAATTTGCCAGAAAGTACAGATTTTAAAAGTTATTATTGTATAAAAGGCACATTTCTTATCAGATTGTTTTACAATTTGATTTAAACGTAAAAAAAAATAATTTAGTATATTGAAGCGTTATTACTAATGGTAAGGTTGCGTTTAGCCTAATGGTTACGTTACGAAAAAAAATTTAAAAATTGTAAATTTAAATTCCCATGTTATTCTTATGGAGAATAAGTCAACTGTTGTAGTTTGCTTGTTTATGAGCATATTTTGATCAAATTTGGAAAATACATTCATTTGTTACTAAACTACAGTATTAACATTTTACAACAAAAAACACATATTTACCCTCCCTGTTGCAGCAAACCTAAGTACTTGTTAAATTAATTCTGTTTAAATAGGGAATAAATGTGATGTTTTTAAGGAGACATTTTAGTGTAAATCCAAACAGGCAAAGGGAAATTTGCTAAGTCTGCAGGTTTGCTGCAGCGGGGGTATTTAAATGTGTATTATTGCTTTAAATTAGTTATTAATCCGTTAGAGTATAATTTTAGTGGATAATTATTATTCATGTATTCTTTCGTTCTCCCGTATCAAAAACTGACTAGGCCTGGTGCTCTTATGCAATTTTCTGTATATTATGGCTGATAACGATTTTCAGCCAGCTTGCCCCATTTTTACAAACAACTAATCGTTAAATACGAAGTGGTTGAAATCAGACAAAAAGGTGCGTCAATATGTCCACCGAATGGTGGAATAAACGCGGCTAGTGTTCGAAGAGGGGACACCATAGTAGAGGTCCCTGGAAATAAGGTGCATACAAGTTGTCGTAAGATATACATTAAAACAAAAATATATAGAACTACAATTGAAGCGAAAACTTGAAGGTTAAAGTAAAAAGCAATAATTGAAGCAGCAGCAATATTCATAAAAAATGGCATTAAGAGAAAGGTACAATCATATACGCAATAATATAGAGAAAACCCCCACCACAGATGACATTAAGTTCAGTCGGCTTTAAATTAAATACCTGAATTACTTAGAATTTTATCATAAACAACGTTTGTTGGTAAAGACAACCATCAAAAGGTTGCTGGCATCGGTCAGTCGATTATTCAGGAAGTCCGCAAACGAGCGCTAGTTGATCCTTTACAATTATCCATTTCTGTACAAATGCATAATTTATTTAAGACCAGATTTCTAAATAGACACTTTAAATAAATTGGAGTTCTGCTCGTTGTATAGTGAAGTGCAAAGATTTGGAAAAAAATTATACCAATGTTATTGCCCAAACACGAGGAAATAAAATATTCAGCTTTGTTATTAGCAGCAGACAATGTTGACCACAATATTTCAACTCTCGATGTAAAAGTAACATTTCATGGAATGGAAATGATAGCTGCCATGGCACCAGGCAAGACCACACTAGTGTAGCCTTGCACCAGGACAGAAGACAGTCTTTAATATAGCAAGGCGTCATTAAGCTGAGTTGAATATTGCTGTACTATCGAAAGTGCCAATATTTGTTTAATCTTCAGAAAACAATAGGTATATTCATAAAACATAAGTTTTACAGAGCCCCTAATTTTTCCTGAATGTAACAAGAAGATTGATATTTTTGGGAACTGTCGTTCAAATCGGCTGCCCTAGGATGGTTTGATGCACACTATTTATAAAGGAAATGGATACCCAGGAAAATCGTCTGTCAGGTATTTGCCAATGATAGATATGTACTCTGCAGACAAATGATGTATTCTTTCCACAGTGAAATTCCTATGTGTTTCCAGAAAATGTGAAAATGGAACCTTTACCTCACAATCATGTACCAAAGTATTTACCACTCCAAACCAGACCACAGAGCTCATTGATGGCCTTGGTTGTAAGGCCAAATCCATTTTATATGATGGTACATGTAATGGTTTCAAAGGAAAATTGCGATACGATATATTCAGCAAAAAGGTCGTTACCACTTCTTAATTCGTAAAGCCGGAATCACCTCCGCCGACTGAATGTGCCTCAAAACTGCATTGTCGCAGAGGGTATTACCAGATTCTGGTATGGATGGGAAAGGAAAATGAGGTTTATTCTTTAAAGTGGGACTGGAAGATCCAGAACGACCGATTCTACCCAATAATTACAACAAAGAGTGCTGCGCCAGAGAGTCATCAGTGTTGAAGGTCATTCATTGTAACTGTTCTACCAATTGTAAAACCTTAAGATGTTCCTGTAGATTGTATGGCCTCCTTGCACAACAGCCTGTGGTCCATGCCAATTTGAAGAGCGTGACAATGTGCAGAACAATTCATGTTCGATAGAGTTAGATTAAGACGAAGACGGTTGAGCAAGTTTTAACAGAGCAGCCCATTTACTATATCAACATTGCAATGAATTGTATATTTGTTGAAATATTTATGTTAATCAAGTTTAAATGTCTTCTTGCACATTGTGTACATCATTTTGTGGTGTTAAATGGTTATTTTGATTGAAAATCAAAAGATATGTGTTAACAAATATTCAAGATACCTTGATTTACTTATTTTTACAGGAATCTTCGACGCCATCTTGGAAATTACCCTTTCCGGAGGCCCGATTTTCCTAGACTTTTATATTTTCATTGACAGGTATCTATTAAAGTAAAATTCAACAAAAAATCATTTGTAGCAATTTTTTTTGTGTGTTTGCATAACTTTACTCGACAATAAATTGAAATGTGATGTAATATAAAACCTATTCAGATATTTTCCTTTACGCATTTTACAATTTTAATTTTGGTCTTTATATGCGAGATTTACAATAATTCCAAGAACATTGATTTCAAGTAATGACAATAATTACAGTTACCGGTACGCATAGACATTATTATTTGCAAGTGCTAATATTTTTATTTCCGAAGAGAATAACAATAAAACTTCGCCTTCCAAGAAACGGAAATCTATATTCAAAAGTGCTGTCCTTATGTTTTCAAGTCCTATATTTCTGAGCAGAACAGTAAGTATATTACGTTACTATACTAGTCCATGGTGGAATTTCCACCATGATACTTGTCTACTAGTCCTGAAAATACGGTAGGTGTTTCGTGTTTATCGGATGAGTGTGGCCGTTCCCGTGCGAGACAAGGTCGAGTGCGGGATTACCATACGAGTCCGGTATAGGCGAATTTCAACTTGTCTGATTACATATTTACTAAAATATTTCCATAAATAAGACATATTTATTCACAATTTAAATAACATTAGATTTAACGAGTGCTTCGGTTTGCTGCTGCGGGGAAGGTAAACAGTGTTTTTTGACCAAATGTCAATAGTATATATAGGATGAAATAAATAAATTTGCCAAATTTGATCAACAATATCCATAAACAAGTAAACTATAACAGTTTTCATTTTCTCCATAAGAATAACATGGGAATTTTAAAAATTGCACTTTTTTGAATTTTCTCCTTAACTATTAGGCATACAACAATGCTTCATTATACATAATTATTTCTTTTTTTAAGCTCTACAAAATGGTTGGGAAAGAAATGACACAAGAAATAGAGGTAATCTTGTTAAACCTAATATTAGACTGCATAAGTACTTTAAGAGCCATAAATACCAACAACTGTTGTTCTTCAATAAACTGCCAGAGATTGTGAGGCTGTTGCCTATTAAGAAATTTAATGCTGTAATTACAAAATGGTTAAAAAGTAAGGCTTTCTACACTGTAGATGAATTTTTAGACGCTAAGACTGATTGTATTATAGACTGACTGTGATGTATTTTTGCACTGACAATGCCTATTGTAACGTTCTGTTATTTAATGGCAAATAAATATTCTTGATTCTTGATTCTTCTTGAAATTACCAAATTTTCTGTTTTTTGGGTAAACAATGGGAAAAACCCATTTTTACCCCATAAAACCCCCCATAAACCCCCGTTCCCATGGTCCGATCATGCTGTTTCGCGAACTCGTTCATATAAATGTAGATTTACACGTTTATACCAAATTTCATCAAAATCGAATAATTTTTGTTCGAGTTATCGTGCTAACGGACAGACAATATATATATGGATGGTGTTTTTGGCCTCTGTGGACCTCAAAACGAAAAGGTAAATCGGTCCCGGGTCCAGGTCTTACCATGAGACCTACGGTAATAGCTTATTATTCCCTATATGGGAAATTAGCTAAATAAGTAAATTTATTTAATTTATTAAAAACATCATTGTGTGGTGAAAAAGCATTTATTGCGTTACTATAGAGATTGCATTTGCACTAGAACATAGTTTAATGCTTTATCTATGATTTGATGTCCCAAATGTAAACTGTAATCAATATTCAAAAATCTGTATGCTATCTTAATGTTTCAAGTGGGTCCTATATTCATGAGAGAAAAGAATTTATTTATAAAAATAAATACCTCTGCCTTAAAAAATAAGGTTGCCAATGACACAGAAAAATAGTACACATAAAATATCAAAGGATTATACAGCTATAAAACTGATTAATTTTGATGTTTGCCATATAGATGATTTCTCATTATGGTCAATGAACCTCTTAATGTTTCATGAATAATAATTTTCTAAAAGGATCTGTCTAGACGCATATTTATTGCGTTACTATGGAGATTGCCATGATTGCATTTGCACTAAAAACAGAGGATTTGATGTCATAAGGGCCAGGTTTATAATACCCTTTGCACCTTCCTTCTAGGACTAAGCAAATTGTTGAAGGTCCATAAAAAGATGATATC